ACATTCAACCAGAGAGACTCGTCAGCGCAACCCAACATTAAACCACAGAGTGTCATCAGTGCTACCCAACATTCAACCACAGAGACTCATCAGTGCTACCCACATTCAACCACAGGCGCAAACACACCTCATTATTTAATTACACGGGCGTACCAGTATACTCTTTAAGGCACAGAAAAATACCCGAGCAACAACGTACAAGAACGCAGGAACATACCCGAGCAACAACGTACAAGGACGCAGGAACATACCCGTCTAACAACGTACACAATGCAAGAATCATACACAAGCAACATCGTACAAGAACGCAGGAACATACCCGAACAACAACGTACAAGAACGCAGAAACATACCCGAGCAACAACGTACAAGAACGCAGGAACGTACCCGAACAACAACGTACAAGAACGCAGGAACATACCCGAGCAGCAACGTACAACAACATTAGAACATACCCGAGCAACAACGTACAAGGACGCAGGAACATACCCGAGCAACAACGTACAACAACATTAGAACATACCCGAGCAACAACGTACAACAATATTAGAACATACCCGAGCAGCAACGTACAAGGACGCAGGAACATACCCGAGCAGCAACGTACAACAACATTAGAACATACCCGAGCAACAACGTACAAGGACGCAGGAACATACCCGAGCAGCAACGTACAACAACATTAGAACATACCCGAGCAACAAGGTACAAGAACACAGGAACATACCCGAGCAGCAACGTACAACAACATTAGAACATACCCGAGCAACAACGTACAAGGACGCAGGAACATACCCGAGCAACAACGTACAAGGACGCAGGAACATACCCGAGCAACAACGTACAAGGACGCAGGAACATACCCGAGCAACAACGTACAAGGACGCAGGAACATACCCGAGCAACAACGTACAAGGACGCAGGAACATACCCGAGCAGCAACGTACAACAACATTAGAACATACCCGAGCAACAACGTACAAGGACGCAGGAACATACCCGAGCAACAACGTACAAGGACACTCAAACGCCCGAACAGACACGCTCACATTGAAACACTGAGAGTAAATTACAGTATCGTTACAGCACTCCTCAGACCTGCCCATCCCCTCCACGTCAGTTCACCGTCGTTCATTGTCTCACGAGCCACCCCACCCCCTTCCCTACCCCTCGACTCAGCATCAAGGTCTGACCTCACCCTCTTGCATGTCCCGAGACCCCCCGGGGGAACTATAGCATGGCTGCGTCTTACCTGATTACCTGGCACAAGCGACCTAGTGTTTTACAATGTATTCCCATTCACGGCCTGCCAATCAGCGCCGCTGGGTTTCCTGTTGATTGAAATGGCTCGGCTATTTCAATGGGCGGTAGGCATTAAACGGTAAAGGCTCGGTGACAGTGCAAATTTATAATAGAGCAATTACTACCCGTGAACATTTATTTGCCTTTCTGGGTTAACAAAGAATGTGAGTTCTACCTGGGTGGCCAAAACAAAGGCGAATTATCATCGCAGATGAAATGACATCTGTACATAATCTTAAGAGTATGGCTGTATATGCATTTCAAAACGGATTCCATTTTTCGGAATTGTTCTCGAGCATGGTTGTCTGCTAGTATATCCACTATTCTGTTAGCATCTGGGGAGTAGGTCACAACGCGGTCTTCTGTGAGCGATCCAAAAAAATCCTCTCCGCTTTATATTCGCGGCATGAACCTTCCAAGAGATAAGATTACCCAATACGTACATGGTCTCGCTAATCATGTTGTTAATGATTTAATTTCACTTTAACATTTTCCAGATACCACTCGAGGGCTGGCAGCTCTGCAACACTGATGCAAGCAGCGATGACAGTTCAAAGGTTAACAGGGAGAATCGTCTCGTCTCTCCTCATTTGCCAATGTAGCGACCTCTGCCCCTGCCCCTCCAGTAGCGTCCAGAGTCGAAGCGCGCCATTGCAGCTGGTAATTACCAAGTCAAAGGGCACAGACGAAATCACCGTAATCATTATTAGCCGGACAGATTCCGATATCGTAGATGGATGGCTTGCACGTAGATAGGCGGCGGGTGGCGATGGGAGGTCAGTCGAGAAACCCAACGCAAATGACGGGCAAAATTCCTATTAGGTAAATGCGAAAATCAGTGAATACTTCCGGACCTTGACTGAGGCTAGTGAGAAGGTTGTGGTGGAAGTGTGTATTAGATGAGATAATACAACCGGCCAGGAGGACCCTTTCCCTCCTGTATACTCCTATGAAAATCGCAGAAAGTATATGAAAGTCAAGTAATCTAATACCCAATGCCTTAGCTATTCAACTGCATAACTGTGTACTATTTACAGCTAGTGCCTGTCACTGTCCATTAGAAAGCGGGTCGATTTTAACCAGATTATAGATTTTTCAAGGGAATACAAAATGTTTTGGCTGGAGAAGGCCACACGAGGTGATGACACACCATGGTTAAACTCCATGGGGGGGGGGGGGGGGGGGGGGGGGGTACACAATCTGACAAGAGGGCCAATAAATACAAAAAAGAATTCTTAAGAATGAAATTAGTGAATGATCAAATTTGCTCATTTGGAACAACATGTCAGAAAACTTGATTCGTGTTTAGTGTGAATGTGATTGATTTAAAACATTACGGATGAAACTTTGTTTGTTTCTTTGTTGTTTAACGCCGCACTCACCAATATTTCAGCTATATAACGGCGGTTTGTCAATAATCGAGTCTGGACCAGACAATCCAGTGATTGGCATCAGGAGCATCTATCCACACAATTGGGATACGATGACATGTATCAATGAAGTCAGTGAAACATAAACATTACATTGAAGATAAATGTTCAGAGGATATTGAATTGACGAAATACATGTATACAGTTTTAATTGGCGGAAATAATACCGACCTAATGAACCACATTATACTTGCTGGAAGAAAAATATATTCATGTATCAAGTGTTAAAAGAAAGAGTTATCACTAGAAACATTCATTAAGATATTATGTGATATAAGAGACTGAAAGATTTATTGCCAATGGAAATTAAAAAATGTTACAATTTGAAAGAAAATGATCAAGCCTATTAAATGTATTTTCTTAATGCAGGTATTGATGAATTTTGCCACGTACTCCAGAAAGCAGCCATAACGAACATGCCCTCGTAACTCATATGATCACCCGCTCTTTTATCAGACTATGTCATATCTTATATGTGATCCACTTGTCCCCACTGATTTGAATGAAAAAAAAATTGGAGAAGACAAAAAGACAAAAAAAGAGGGTCAATAATAGGCCTACCATTTAAACCTTGTGATTTTTAATTGGCAGTGACCCCAGAACGTGTAGCCCCACCACAGAATGGTGTTAGTCTCTGAATCTCCCATCTCAGTGGGGCGCCTTTTCAATTTAGATGGAGTTATGTGTTTCCTTCAAAATTATATATTTGCAAGCGTCAGAAAACGTTCTTAGTCAAAAGTGGTTAAAGCGTTCGCTCGTCACGCTGAAGCCCCGGGTTCGATTCCCCACATGGGTACAATGTGTGAAGCCCATTTCTGGTGTCCCCCGTCGTGATATTGCTGGAATATTGTGGAAGCGGGGTAAAACCATCCTCACTTATGCTTAGTAATTTGAAGAGGACTGGACACCACTCTCCAATTCAAAATATTAAATCGGACTAGCACGTTTTAATGAGATTTAATGACTGAATGATAAGTCCATGGGTGCATAATAATTCTATCTTCATAAAATAGGCAAGTCAAGATAAGCGGATAGTATATCTAAAGACGCCAGTCTCTTATATGGGTAACTTGTTCTTATTATTTATATAATCTAGAAATTATTATTTAAACTAATAAGTTTTGCCTTAGAGACTTCTGCAAGTCTAGTATTTCACGGAAAATTGTGGCGAATGGTGCCTCCGCGGAGTGGCCCGGATGTAACGCCGCTTTGATTTAAACTAATCATTTTTGCTTTAGAGACTTGTGCAAGTCTATGTCCCGCACGCCAGAAACCTATGATTGTGGGTTCGAATCCCGGTTCGCCCCAATTATGTTTCTAGGTTTGTCAGCACCATACCCGTGCTGTAAACGTCTTAGACCTGCATCACTTCGGGCTTTCCTCCCACATTAAGCTGACATGCCGTGATATAACTGGAATGATGTTAAAAGCGGCGTTAAACACAACTCACTCACTCACTACGACGATACAGCCCGTCTGTGTGTGGGAAGGTGAATGTTTCACCACCACCGACCCCACAGCTTGTACTCATGAGGGAATCGAAACCGTATAATGCGTGACAGATTGGCGGACACACTATCCGCGTGGCTAACACTCCCACAATTTGATATAGAACGAGAACAAGGAACAAGCACAGCTATGACAGGATTTTTACCTGATTATATCCCGCAATAATTGTCCACACAGAATGCCTGACTTACTATGCTTATTTGTTTATTTACCAAACCGATTTTATTACTATTGACAAACTAGATATCCTTGACACATCCCAAACGTTACCGTATTCATTGCAGACAACGTGAATCTTTAGGAGGCCATGGTCTGCTGATTATCTATGGGTCTGGGACTTTTTCTACACTATTAGATAATCTGTTTCACCGACAGTGGCGGCGATTCCATCTTCTTCAGCTACTTTGACTCCCCGCAGGTTATTTCAAACACACACAGCCAGTAAAACCTGCCAAATAACTTGCCGACATTTTTAATGTCATTTTATATAGATTCGTTCCATTTGTTATTTCAGTGACGCGAAACGTTTAGTCAGTGTATATGCGGGTAGTAGTGGCGAAGTTAACTGTCATTAATGGCCAGGGCTATTCAGTAGGTGAGATTTGATTATATTCCCGGTATTGGTGAGCGTTGTAGTGTGTACAGAACTGTCACATTTGCTGGCAATTTGGGCGATCTTTACGAGGGTTTAACATTAATGCTAGACTGGTGTTGTCATAGGTCCTTGGCCTGGTCTCCTCTGTGTCTGGGTGTTCAGGTTCAGGTTCGGGGTGGTTGTGGGGTAGGGCTGGTGCCGGGGTGGTTGTGGGGTAGGGCTGGTGCCGGGGTGGTTGTGGAGTCGGGGTTGGTGTGGGGTGGGGCTGGGTGTCGGGGTGGTGGTGGAGTCGGGGTTGGTGTGGGGTGGGGCTGGGTGTCGGGGTGGTGGTGGGGTAGGGCTGGTGCCGGGGTGGTTGTGGAGTCGGGGTTGGTGTGGGGTGGGGCTGGGTGTCGGGGTGGTGGTGGAGTCGGGGTTGGTGTGGGGTGGGGCTGGGTGTCGGGGTGGTGGTGGGGTAGGGCTGGTGTCGGGGTGGTTGTGGAGTCGGGGTTGGTGTGGGGTGGGGTGGGGCTGGGTGTCGGGGTGGTGGTGGGGTAGGGCTGGTGTCGGGGTGGTTGTGGGGTGGGGCTAAGTGTCGGGGTGGGGCTGGGTATCGGGTTTGGTGTGGGATCCGGGTGGTTGTGGAGTCGGGGTTGGTGTGGGGTGGGGCTGGTGTCGGGTGGTCGTGGAGTCGGGGTTGGTGTGGGGTGGGTCTGGGTGTCGGGTTTGGTGTGGGATCCGGGTGGTTGTTTGGTGGGACTGGGTGTCGGGGTGGTTGTGGGGTCGGGGTGTTTATGGGGTGGGGCTAGGTGTCTGGGTTTGTGTGGGGTGGGGCTGGGGCTGGGTGTCGGGGTGGTTGTGGGGTCGGGGTTGGTGTGGGGTGGGGCTGGGTGTCGAGGTGGTTGTGTGTCGGAGTATGATCGCATGACCTCACTTCCGACACTTCCGACACCGCTAAACCAGATTTCTGAACCTGGACTGAGAGCGCACTATCGACTGAATTTATTTCCAGAGGATCTGGTGCAACATGGCTGCCAACAGCACGGTATCGTACAGTCAATTTGTGGATTGATCCACCTCCTCCAGTGTTTATACAGAGGCCAGATCGCCTTCACCAAGAACTCCCTCCCTCCTCTCATCCTCAGCCCTCCTCACGACCCCCTCAACCCAAACTCCTCCTTCTCCCCTCCCTTTCTAACTCAACCTATCTACCCAATTCTTTCTTTTGTCTATCTGGGTGACGCACCCTGGGACACAACACCCCCCCCCCCCCCCCCCCCCCCCCCCCCCCCTATCCCCCGCCCCCACACCCACACCCCACCTTTGTCAACATGGGTGATACACCCAGGCACATAACACCCATAACACCCACGGAAGGTCGGCCTGCCTTCAGGGGTGATCATTAATACGTTGAAAAATATCTTATCCAAATGGAATTGCTTTTCCGGCTTACCGTGGTATAAAAACGAGAAGAATACAACCTTTGCGAGAATATTACAGAGCGAGAATAAAAGTTTTTGTATGAAGCAGGACTTATTGGGGGAGATTTACCTCACAAACCAGCCTGTGATCAGAGGCAGGTTGGGGCAATCAATAGGCGAGTCACGAGCAGGCCAACGCAGCACGAACGCACTTTGTACAACAACTTGATTATTGTGTTTTAATACAGTCGGCAAAGTTTGATGCAATTGTTGTGGAAAATCCCAATCAGCGGAGTTAACGCTGTAACGTCAGAGGAAGCGGTGTAACATCCGGGCAACTTCTCCGCGGAGGCACCATTCGCCACACTCGCATCTCGCCGTGATATACTAGACTTGCACAAGTCTCTAAGTAAAAAAATATTAGTATAAATGATAACTTCTAGATTGTGGAAACAATAAGAACAAGTTGTCTATATAAGAGACTGGCGTCCTTTGATGTACTGTCCGAAAAGGTGAGTTTTAGCTATCCCAACTTTCTAGAGTTGTGCAATACGGATAAACTTATTGTACTTTTTAAATATTATGTATATTTTACAGCCAAAACCTGCTTTTTAATTCTCCAACGAAGAAAAAATATTTTATATGGCTAGTTACGGGTAGTATATTTTCATACCCCTTTTACACCAATATATTTATGCTGTACATACTGTGATACATTTTAAGTCTCTCGTTACCCTTAACGGGTGGCTCACTTTTATGTCCTTTTATATGTATTTATGTCATTATTTCTGTGAGGTGAGACTCAAATAAACAATCTGTCTATGACCATGCATGATACCTCTCCTGTTGAGGGGCGTCTCTCTGGTACCCTGGCCTGGTTAGATCTAGCAGTTGTTGCTGACTACTAGACTAACATTTAGTCTCTGAAATCTTATATTACACAATATCCTTCTTGACTCTAAAAATTTAAAAAAATCCCTATGCTGATTTTGTGGAATAGAGCTAGCTTGGTGCAGGACTAGGTGACTACGGGGGCAGGGACTTGTTTCGAATTAAATAATCTGTCTGGGTAAAACCTAGTCAGTCTCTTAGTCCCTGTACCATAATATTTCCCCTTCAGCCCCGCACTTACAGTAATGCAAAAGCACTAAATGAAGCAAGTCTAGATTTTCCTCATGTTCGGGGTCTGTATTCATCTGCAAGGAAACTATAAACTCATTTTTACTCACGGGTGCTGTCTATAATCTTCGGTCGGCAAGTCTAGCTATCTGAGTTTAAGCCACTGCTTGCAGAAAGTCCCTTTATGAATTTTATTCAATAAATAATTCCATTGCCTAAATCATGGTCTGACTGGGAGTCCTAACTTATTCAAACACACATGGTTGGTTGGTTGGTTGTTTTACGCCGTTTTCAGCAATATTCCAGCTATATGACGGCGGTCTGTAAATAATCGAGTCTGGACCAGACAATGCAGTGATTGATATCATGAGCATCGATCCACGCAATTGGGATCGATGACACGCATCAACCAAGTCAGCGAGCCTGACCACCCGATCCCGTTAGTCGCCTTTTACAAGCATAGTCGCCTTTTACGACAGGGGGCACTGGTGGCCCAGTCGTCTAATGCGCCGCAATTCGCTGTGCAGAGTTGCGTCCCTTAGGCACGCCAGAAACCTATGATTGTGGGTTCGAATCCCGGTTCGCCCCAATTAAGTTTCTAGGTTTGTCAGCATCATACCCGTGCTCGTGGGTTTCACCGAAGTGGTAAACGTCTTAGCCCTGCATTACTTCGGGCTTTCCTCCCACATTAAACTGACACGCCGCGATATGACAGGAATACTGTTAAAAGCGGCGTTAAACCCAACTCACTCACTCACCCTTTTACGACAAGCATAGTCGCCTTTTACGGCAAACAAACGCACATGGCAGCCAATGACAAGCGTGCTTATGATTAAGGCTTATTTGAAAAACATATTACTCACCTATTGGGCACCTATTAGTCACATATTGTTTACATATTGTTCACCTATTGTCCACATATTACTCACCTATTGTCCACATATTACTCACCTATTGTCCACATATTACTCACCTATTGTCCACATATTACTCACCTTTTGTCCACATATTACTCACCTATTGTCAATATATTGCTCACCTATTTCCACATATTACTCACCTATTGTCCACATATTACTCACCTACTGTCCACATATTACTCCTCTATTGGGCACCTATTGCCTACATATTGTTCACCTATTGGGCACATATTACTCACCTATTGCCCACATATTACTCACCTATTGGGCACCTATTGCTCACATATTGTTAACATATTGTTCACCTATTGGGCACATATTACTCCCCTATTGTCCACATATTTCTCACCTATTGGGCACATATTACTCCCCTATTATTCACATATTACTCACCTATTGGGCACATATTACTCTCCTATTGTCCACATATGACTCACCTATTGTCCACATATTACTCACCTATTGTCCACATATTACTCCCCTATTGTCCACAAATTACTCACCTATTGTCCACATATTACTCACCTATTGTCAATATATTGCTCACCTATTTCCACATATTACTCACCTATTGTCCACATATTGTTCACCTATTGGACACATATTACTCACCTATTGTCCACATATTACTCACCTATTGGGCACCTATTTCTCACATATTGTTTACATATTGTTCACCTATTGGGCACATATTACTCACCTATTGGGCACATATTGACCATATATTGTTCATATTATGCTCACATATGGCTGTGGTCACAAAACAATTCACGTCTGAAGCTCCTCGTCATTTAAAGTTGGATATTTCAGTAAGTTCAACAAGACATCCCAAACTGTTCGAGCTGCGCTGATATATAAGATAGTGGCACGTGTGTTTGCTTGTCACGTCAACTATCTGGTTCGAATCCCAGTGTAAACATACCTGTACCATTTATACGTGAAGCATTCCGTTTTGCTTCAATAGTACTAGAAGCGGCATACACACGGGATCACTCACTCATCCCTAGGCAGTGAACGTGTTCAATCAGTGGATGCTAACAAAGGCTTTGTTAATACCGGCTGCCATAAGGGCACTCGGCTTGAGTAGGTCGGCGAAACACATAGGTTAAATAGTTGATATCAATTCACGTTGTATCGGAGACGGTTGTTTAGACAGATTTGGTGAATGCAATATGGTTCAAAGTCTCACCATTCCACGACTCGCTGCAACAATGTGTATTTGTTATTTCAATGTATTTCATGTGCGGCAGACTATCCCATGTTAATCAATACCACGATACTACATCACGTGGCTTAATTGAAATTCAATTTCAAGAGATATCTGCATCAACGAACAAAATATTTTGGATGGCGATGTTTTTGAACGGTCGTTGTCCCCAATGGTGGATTCAGAGGCGCCGGTGTGTGGTGTGTTGGGGTGGAGGGATTACGTTGAGAGTGCTGGGGGTGAGTACCCACTCCCAAGGCACCCCCTTTTCAAAATCAAGGGTTCGCCTCTGGTTCCATACGAACAACACGACCCGTTATTTTACAAATCAAATAAGTTAATAAATTGATGAAAGTTTTATTTGTGGATGACGTCACACATGCACGTGCTGTCGTGTGTGGAATCCCGAGAGACGAGCTAACAGAGTTCGAGCGATCCGCATGCACGATTTGCTGTTTCGCCAGTGTCACGTGATTTACGACAAGGCGCCATGGTAATGTGAGAGGTGAGGTTCGGATCTGACATCGCGTGTGTTGCCTCGTCCCGAGTGTCAAAAACCTGCCTAAATAGTATCAGGTTTCCCGACCTTCGACCTCGTTCTTTACGCGAGAGACTTCAACGGTTGTCGTGTGTGAGCAGCACCCCTCGGGATCAGGGGAGTGGAAACAATACGCTTTGTCACAATCATCCCACATAGCACAACTATTTATTTGTTAGTTCCCCTGTATCGGTTCGAGGCTCCCGAAGTGTGCTATTACCTTTCCGATCTGTTTGAGTGTAACCCGAGGAGTGCATTCGGCTACCCCGAGATACACGAACACGTCAACCTGTGTTCCGAGTGACAATCAACGCTGAGTTGTCGTCCTGAGCCGGATCTCCGAGGGATGGGGAGCCAGACCACATCGATCAGGGGTTACTGATCTCTGCATGACAGAGCATCTTCGTTTCTGTGCTCGTGCTATCAACCACTGCTGTGGCCGGTCCAGACATGATTATTTTCTTCGGTGTATTGTAATATTACTAAAAGCGTCGTCAAATGAATTACGAGTTATTCACCAATGTTACATAATTACGAATTAATTATGACTTGAGTGAGTGAGTGAGTTGGGTTTATCGCCGCTTTGAACAGTATTCCAGTTATATCACGGCCTGTCAGCTTAATATGGGAGGAAAGCCCGAAGTGATGCAGGTCTCAGACGTTTCCAAATTCTGTGAAACCTACGAGCACGGATATGGTGCTTACAAACCTAGAAACATAT